ACAAAAATATTTTGACAAACGGTAAAAGATGAAAGTTACAGGAAAAAGAAAATCTCAGATATACACAAGCTAAATAGTCCTCCGAAGTTTACTATTTCATTCATTTAGATGACGCAATGAACCAATTCAATATGATTTTTGACGGCTCCAACCGTAAACTTACTAAAACCTGGATTTGACTAGAATCAATTTCAAACCATCAAAATCATATATAAAGAGGAATCTTGTGTCTTCATAGTGTTTCTTTGTTCCCCTCTGATACCCTGTTTCTTGTATACCCTCTGTTATCCTGTTTCTTGTATATTGTAATGTGAAGCCTACGTTGGTGATTAGTTATGTTCCCTTATGAGAATATAATGTTTCCAGCTCTGGTAGCCACTGCTGTTTATGATTATATGTTTATATCATACACGTATCATTATCATGTTCTTGTGATGTGCTCATTTCTTTTGCTGTGCCGCATTTGAAAACTTACATAAACATGTGGCCTATTTTCCTCTTGGATGACAACCTATTTGTTATGTTTATTTGCCTCAACATTATCTAATTCTGGTTGTGGCACACTGAAGATCTAGAAAGGGACCTAGGAGAATGCTAGAAGCTCAGGCTATGATCCAGCAGTAGATGAGATTACAACAGGCGATAAATTTTATTAGATTTTATTATATTAGATGTTAGATTAGTCATCGACAAGTTCGAATTCACACCGTCATGTAAGGGCTCAACTCCTTTTCACCACTGTATTAGGAGGGTGTAGTCAATTTGGATTTCACAGGATTTTAAAAGACTTTTTTAAGTGACAGATTTCAAAAGATTGTAGAATTCTTACAACTTTCAAATAGATTTTTAAGAATTCCTATGGATTTTGATTAAAGATTTGAATAGATTTTGAGAGATTTCTTGTCATTTAAAAAATTATTTAAGAACTTCACCCAATTCTCCCAACCCTCCATGTTTTCCCGATGCTCAGTTCTCCCTGACGAATTCCACCCATTAATTTAAAATGCCTTGCCATCCAAGATGAACCAAGTGCCATTCCTCCCCACAAAACTCAACTTCGTCTCGTCACAAAAATTCGAGCCAAGTTACCGAAAGACATGTAGATGAATGCTACATTCGATGAGAATCCAATAATTGGACATAGCACATGCCATTTCCTGCCACTACCATTTTATTCCTCGTTGCAGAGGACCTCAAAATCATAAAATGGAAGAACTGCTTCAGCATTACATCAGCCTTACTGTTGAATTTTTTATGTGTATTTCATATCAAAACAATTACAAGATGAAACATTATATAGGAAAAGAAATAGAACATAAGCCTAACTTGCCTAACTTGCCTAATTTCCTAACTTGCCTAACTTGACTAATTTACACAAAGAAGGTTGACTAGCCTAACTTCACTAGTCATCCAACATGTTTATTTCATGCATGCATTTTAACAAAAGATATGACTTCATGCATTCCAACACTCCCCCTCAAGCTGGATCGAGGGGATTCCTTGAGCCAAGCTTGGACAGAATGCGCATGAACTGAACCGTAGGAAGAGGTTTAGTAAAAATAATGATTTGCTTCTTGCTGCGCCATGTTACCAAATTCCCACTTGAAATGGCTTCGTGCCGCAAACAAACAGTAATGGCTTCGTGCCGCAAACAAACAAACTTGAAATGGCTTCGTACCGCAAACTTGAACAACGTTAGGTAGAGCTAAAGCATCCATCGAGCTCTCAACTTCATAATGTTCTCCAGCCATCTTGGCTTAGAGTAAATGTTCTCCAGCCATCTTGGCTTAGAGTAAAAGATCTCCAGCCATCTTGGCTTAGAGTAAATGTTCTCCAGCCATCTTGGCTTAGAGTAAAAGAAACTTAGCGGAAACGATCAACAGAGCATCCATCGAGCACTCAGCTTCATAATGTTCTCTAGCCATCTTGGCTTAGAGTAAAAGAAACTTAGCGGAAACGATCAACAGAACCAGGAATTTCGAGTTCCTGCTCTGATACCATGTTGAATTTTTTATGTGTATTTCATATCAAAACAATTACAAGATGAAACATTATATAGGAAAAGAAATAGAACATAAGCCTAACTTGCCTAACTTGCCTAATTTCCTAACTTGCCTAACTTGACTAATTTACACAAAGAAGGTTGACTAGCCTAACTTCACTAGTCATCCAACATATTTATTTCATGCATGCATTTTAACAAAAGATATGACTTCATGCATTCCAACACTTACAAGAGTAACGAAAGACTTCTCACAAGCAACCGGCATCAAAGCATTGTTGACGCATTAAGGAAAATATATTGTTCAACCATGAAGAGACACAAACAACAGCAATCAGAGGGATTCAATAGTCAACCAATACCAATCGCATTGGTATTTACGAAATTTCACGAAGAACCCTATCTCTAAAAACATCCATGCATTTTACAAACGAATATATACAGTATACTTAACCAAAAACTTGAATTAACCCTATCTCTAACTATGTATTGCGACAACACTGTAAATAGGTTCACTCCTATGTAAATAGGAAAACGATCTCAGTATTAGCAATGAAAAGGGAAGAGAGGAAGAAAAACAATCTAAATAAGAAGAAATGTTCTCAATGAAATGGGAAGAGAGGAAGAAAGAAAGCTTGGTTGCAGAGTGGGGAGAGAGAGAGAGAGAGAGAAATCGAAGGGGTTGAAAGAATTCGAGGTAGGATTCTTTATAGTCTTTTTAAGCTTATCATCTTTTCTCAAATCCTACAAAATCACTCATTCAATGAAATCCTTCAAAAATCTATAATTTTTTAATACATATAGATTTGCATAGACTCTATAAAAATCCTTTAAAATCCTAGTTGACTACCCTAGGATTCTAAAATCTTTTAAAATTCTTTAGTTGACTACTCCTATATTTTAATGGACTCTCTTAAATTCTTTTAAAATCCTAATTGACTACTCTGAATTCTAAAGTTTTTTAAAATTCTTTAAAATCCCCTTTAAATCCTTATTTGACTACGCTCCTTAAATAGCCACCTGCATATCTATCAATTGTTTTAGATTTGCTAGTTGTTCAGGCAGAACCAACCGATCATCGACTGGACGACTTACTGAGTGTGGCACGTGGCAGTCTTTGGCAGCAATCATGTGGATGTCGGAATCTTATGTGCCCGGGCTAGGTTGAGAGCCCTGAGACAGTATTATCAAAATCTGAAAGTGGGCGTTGGGGAATCATTTTTGGTGTTGATTGTTCTGGTTTGGGTGTCTGATGGTAGGCGCGTTTTTCCCGGCGATGGTGAAGACGGAGAAGATGAGAGGCCTCCCATTAGCTGCTACACCAGTTGAGCCAACTGTTCAGTCCAATCACAACCAAACTAATGGATAACTGACAAAATATTAAGTAACAATTCATATTAATATAAAATAATAGACTAGCCGATATTTATATCAGTTAATAAAAGAGCCTAATGCAAAAAATGAACGTTGGGTCTTTGAAACAGTTCAAATCATTTTGATACTAAGAAGTTTGATCTGTTTTACCGAGAAGGTCTACGGTTCGAGTCCATATAGCCCTAAAACCTATAAATTAAAATAAAAAATGAAAATATGCTATATTTTATTTACTATATATATACATATAGTTTATAGATAAAAAAAATATCTATTATCTAATAAATTAGATTCTAAATTATCTATACATTCTAAATTATTTATATATATAGAAAGTATATTCTAAATTATATATATAGAAATATATAATCTATATTTATAGATTTCTATTTTCTATTTATATAATATATATAATAAAATTCTATAGAATTCGAAATTATAAACAAAAAAATTATATTTTCGATTCGTAATTTGTTTTCTTTAGTGTACAATGTACGATTCACGGATATGATTCACGGATTATTGGGATCTTCACAAAAAGGATTCGGAGAGGATCCAGATTCATTAAATATAGTCCATCTATGTGTGCAATGATAGTGTGCTAAAACAAGGTCCATTATACTGTGTCATAATACAAATGATTCAATATTTGGAGAAAAAGAAATTCAACCACTTATATTATGACACTTGATTTATTAGATCGTATTTTCGGCATATTAAAAAAATTTCTCCTATCTGTGGAATTGTGTGGCAATTTGTCATTGATAAAAAAAATGGAAATACTGTTCTAGAGAGCAGATGTTTTGCACATAAAACTTTTGTTATTAAATGTAATTGGAAGGATGTTGAAATTTGAGTGATACATAGCATCACACATACCACAGGAATAATGCTCAACTTTAATATCTATGTTGTAACATCAAATTCCCAATTAGAATCCAAGTTATGTTCGTATTCATAACTTATAATTTATGCACACGTGAGCAACTGTTCTTAGCATTTGCAAATAAGAAAGTGCAACTATTCTTACTAAAAATAGTTAGGAGCACATAAATTGACATGTACTTGATAAAATTCGAGAAATTCGTCTCGGTGATTGAGACATTTGCTACAACTGGGAACAAAAGAAGCTCCCTCAATGGAGTTGCACACTTCAATGCAAATTGGCTGGCGATGTGAAATCTCGTTTTCGGATTTCACTGTTATAATCTACGTATTTGTATGATTGAGATTTTATATTATTTTTGAGAAATTATATTAATTTATTTGAATTTGATTTTAATTAAACTAGTTACGAAGTTGAAGTTTGAAATTTAACTATTTAAAATTCGTAGACCGTTTGAGGTCACAATTTATATCTTTGGATAGAGCTCGACCTCATAAATGCGTAGGCACAAACCGTTCGTGAAACGGAGTTATAATGAAGAAGTTATTGGCGTTTAAAGTCAAGGATATTTTGGTAAATTTAACTTTATTAAGAAGACTCCAGAAATCTGGAGCAATATGTTGTGCCACGTGTGTGGCTGTGGTGAATGTAAAATAATTATTGGATGGCTGAGATTGAAAGGAAAGAAGATAAAGGAGGAAAAGGAAGAAGGAATTAGAGGAGGGTGACCAATAGAGAGAGAGAATCGGGAGGAAAAAGGAGGGAAGGGAGACGCGGGGGATCGGGACCAGGACGTGGGTGACCCGACCCGGTTCGGCGGCACACACATATTCCGACGAGATTTCAACCCCTTTTCCGGCAAATTGGGTCAAACAACCACTTGGAAACACTCCCATAACCTTCCCTCTTCATGTTTCACCCCAAAAATCTCGAGAATTAGTGACGGTTTGGTGGAAAACGCACCCGTGGTGCCGCGAGTTTGTGTTAGAAATCCTCCCGTTTTTGAAGCAATTTTTCCCAATTACTACCACCCCTACCTTCCTCTTGAGTCCTAGAACAAATCCCAAACGATTTTGGGAGCGGCGGATCTGTTTTGGAGACGGATCGAAGACACCCAAAAACAAGGGTTCCGTACGGTTTTAGTGAAATTGAGGTGTTTCCCGGACATTGGACTTGGCCACAGGTATAAAGTTTGCTCTACTCTTTGAGATCTTCATTTCTGTAATTTGTGGTAATTTTTAAAAATAGTTGAATTTAAAGTCGGGCGGCCGACCGCCACCCGCCGCGGCGCGTGCGGCGGCGGCCTGGCCAGCGGGCCGACGATGTCCTTTTAAGTTCAATTGGATGCTCTGATTTCATAACTGACATCCTTATGATATGGTTTGATTGTTTGGACCTAATTTCATTACGATATGTGGTTAGGTCAAAATGTGATTCGACGATCCGACCATTGGATCGTCACCAAACTTTAATGCGTCATAGAATGTAATAATTGAGGATAGTTGGAACTGACGGATTGGGAATCTGGCATACGGATCTTCCTAATTTGGATTTCTAAGTTTGTAAAATCAAACGTTGGTCGCCACTTGAAATTGTAATTAGCGGGGATCTGAACGTCAGATCATGATGAAATTTTGGTAGGTTGTTTTAGAAGCATAATGTGGACTTTAGAAGGTTACAGATCTGAAATCCAATGTGCAGATCTTCCATATTGATTGTGTAGAATTGCGGATCCTACCTTTGACGGGGAGTTGACTTTTGGTCAACATGTCTCCAAACTTCTTAATACTAAATTTAGTACTACGAGAGACTTAAGTGAAGTCTAGTGGGCCTACATTGGTTGGAGAGTGACTTTAATATTGGTGATATGGTGATTACTTTAATTGTTTATGTTGAAATCATTTATGAATATGAATTAGTCTTATAAATATGATTTCTATTGAAATGTGATTTTCATATATTTAGCCATAGACTTATGTTTATTAAACATGATTGGCTTGTGTACTGATGATAATGGTGAATATGTGTGTTTAATTATTTCTAGTAATGCGAATGATAAGTATGGTAGATTTTATGGCAATGTGATCTTAGAATTCTATTAGAAGTATTTTGTAGAACTCATATGCTTGTGAGACCTATTAGTTGGTGGTCATGAGAAGTGGATATGGTAGGTGACTACGTTGTAAGTATAGAAGGGATGAGGGTTAGATATACTTGGTACATTCAGTGGGTACCATATTCACATGGATTCCGTTGAGTGAGGTTCCGGAATCGTGTTGTTGTTTGAATTCCGTTGAGTGATGTTCCGGAATTGTATCGTTGGGTGGATTCCGTTGAGTGATGTTCCGGATCGTTGGTTGGATTTCGTTGAGTGATCTTCCGGAATCGTATTGTTGGTTGGATTTCGTTGAGTGATGTTCCGGAATCGTATTCACCTTGGATTTTATTGAGTTTAGATTGACATAACTCCAGAGATGTAGGCTTCAGCCGAATTGTGTTGCTCTAGCTCGGCATTTCGATGAATTGTATGTGTTATTGATGATATGGTTATTGGCATTATTGATTGATGTGATAATTGGATGGTGTTGGAATGCATATGTGAGGATGAATGACGTTATGACTAGAGATTATTATTCTGCTTATTTAAATGTTCCTTGTGGTGCCACATAATTGAATTGTGGTATTATGTTGAGATCTAGTAGTCTATGTAATGAATGTTCGAGAGTAGTGAAATGGTGAACTACGAATGGCTTGATCCCTATTGAGGGTATGTAGGCAATCTAACGAGAATGTTAGATGCAGCCATAAAGCAGACGAAAAATTACTATGAAATTTGGACCTTGAGTGGTCATATTTCATATCTTGGAGGCGGAGTATGTTAGAAGTTCGAGTTTTCAGTGACGTCACGTGTCGATCCTGGGCGTAGGTCGGGATCGGGGCGTGACAGGCGACATACGCCAAACCAACATATGCAGTTACAAAAAAATGGAAACTAGACAAGGTTGTAACTCCAATTAAGAATGCATTACATTATGTGTCAATGTTTACTTATTACATTAATTATTAGGCTGACCGGTTATGGGAGTTTTGGCCAGTTTTGTAATTTTGATCCGAAACTTAGTACAACTTCAAAGATCCCTAATGTTTTATTTAATAAATCTTTCCATGCACATCATGTAATACAACAAGTTTTAGGGACTAATTAAATAGAGAAAATGCGGTAATCACAAAGGGGATCAATCAAAATGGCTTAATTGTATCAACTAGTGAAGTTATTTAAAGTATTTATAATCATTTTTCAAAACACTAATCATTGATCGTCTAGTTAAAGAAGAAGAGGATGTGAAATCGACAAAACGTGAACACAACACTGTCACATGAGCTGCTTGTTGGCCATGATAAGAGTAGTTAATCTATATGGATGTGTACAGATTATCAATTAGGTTTATTCTTTAGATTTTTACAGAGCAATGCCTACATGTACATTTACGATATACAGTTTGACAATATAACATGTCAAATCCGACAAACAAATTATTCTGATTTTTAAATTGTAGCATCCTTGTTATTCTCGCATTAATTTGTACAAGTTGAAAAATGTGCATGTTTTTGTTTCCCCACTTTGTACAATTTGACAAATTGAAAACATAAACTTGCAGACCAACTGATTTCTAAATTGTATTTGTTGGGGTCGTACCTAATGGGGCCGGGCACAGTAGGACCAGTGTGGCAATTTTACAATATCATACAAATACAGTGTCATGTTTGTCACAAAAAAATAAAAAGGAAAAATCATCGTTTTTCTACTCTCAAACTATTGGCATCTCTCAGTGTCTCCGTCGTCTTCTGATTTTCCTCCGAATCGGAGAAGAAAGGCAACCAAATCATGGTCCTCCGAATTCGTGGTTTTTTTTTATTCTTCCCGGCGCTCCTTACGCGTACTGCAGCCTGAGCGCGCGGCGCTCTCGATTGATTCCGTGGTCTGATCTTCCGCGAATCGCAATCCGACGGTGGCGATGGCGTCGACGCAGAACCAGTCGGCGAATGTGGATCTCTTCGATGCGTATTTCCGACGGGCCGATTTGGACCGCGATGGCCGGATTAGTGGCAATGAAGCCGTCGCTTTCTTCCAGGGCTCTGGTTTCCCAAACAGGTCCTTGCGCAGGTACTCCCCCTATATATATGTATATGCTTGTGTATATATGTATAATTGGATGTGTGTGTATGATTATATTTGTGTTCCGAATCAGATTGATTTTGAATTTGTAGTCTAATTGTAGTTGAAGTGGTAAATGTGAGCTCGGGATGTCTTAATTCTCTTATGTAAGCTGAGATTTTTATTTCGTGTTAGTATAAATGCGGAATTGATGTTCAAATGGTAGAAAATAAGTAGATGAAGAATTGATACTACAGTTAGTGAGGTTGAGAGAGTTATGTTATCAGGTCATTAATATACCTCCTGGCGTGGTGTGTTAATTAATGTCTATGTTTATGATATAAAGGCAAATTTCAAGATGCCCATGGACTTGCGAATCAAGTTTTAATGATAATAAATAGGGTATTACACACTTGTCCATAACTTGCACTTTGAAGATACCAAAATAATAAAAGCCTTGCCTATTTGTTGTCTTATTTCTTGGACAGACAAGTGAGCTCTCAAAGTACAAATTTTTCATAAAGTTTTTCCTAATTCTATTGGATAATGATACTTAGGATTTGTTGGATTAAAAGTCCGAATCATCTTCAATTCCACTGGCTTCAGACCCATGTTCATCACTTTCATTTGCTTCAGGCTCATCTCCACCTTTGGAATCATCATCTTGTCTTGTTTCTTCTTCTACTTTTGTTTCCCTCGGCATGAAGACATGATCAAATTTGAGCAGTAGCATTTCATGTATCTTAGCATTTCTTGTATTTGTAAGAATTCAACGCTTTTTTTTAAACTATCATGGATAAGTACCCAAATTTGGCCTCTTGTACATGTTTTTTTTCTTCACTGTTTTGAACTATTAAAAGTTAAACAGGAAGGCATGGAACTGTCATTATACTGTTGTATCCCAAAACCGAATTCTTTGGTCGGAACCCTAAATCCATGCTTATTTCAGGAATCGTAAGTTCAATCGGTAGTCCACTGCCCCTGATTTTGGTGCTCCAAAATCCAATTTTCCTCTTTCATTGGGGAAGAAGATGGGGATTAGAAATTTAGGATGTCGTATGATGTTCATAGAGGAAGCATTTAGTACTAGACTCAAACCCACGTTATCCTGAATGATGATTGGGCGTAGGTGACCGATGTTTTTGAAAAGTTTGGATGTCAGAAATTAGGATTATAATCTGCTTAACTCATTTCTTTACTCAAAAGATTTTTCATTTTTCATTAACAAACGATAACCAGTAACTATATTACAAGGCAAAATGGTAAAGGAAAACCCCAATTTGACGGTTTCTCTTCCAATAACTTTGTATATGTTCCTGTGTCCATCAGTTGTATTTAGATTTGAAGTTGTTCAGGCAGAACCAACTCTGAGCCCTTTTCAGCAATCGAGCATCGACTGGAAGACTTGCTGAGTGTTACAGTACCTGTATCAGTATCAATATCCGAACCATCTATACAGAGTGAAATTTCAATTTCACACAGGTCACTTGCATTAGATGTCCTTTCAGCTGAAGCACCACTTGAAGATATCCCATTTGCAGTAGGGGAAAGCACTTCAGGTTGTTGAATGCTACTAATGTTTCCCTGTTTGAGTTGCTTAGTCTTCCCGATAACCTTTCTCCTCGTCTGTCCAGATGTAATCCACGAAGATAACCCCACAGCTCCAAGTAGCGGCAGCACAATACGATAATCTTGTGTCAATTCAAAAAGCAACAGACTCCTGCAAGACTAGCACCCATTCCAACCTGAAAATGGAATCTCACCGATTGTCAACTCCATCCAGATTTTGGGATACCTTCAGAATTTAGCAGACAAATACCAGAAACCATATTCAGTAAAGGCAAATCACATTACCAGGAGCACGTAAATACTCCGAGATCACATACTGATGCCATAGTCAATTGCAGAAATTATTTAAAATAAAAAAGAACCATTTTTTGTTCACTAGGCACATAAGTTTTTATATATATCATTTTGAAGAATCAACAGATAATTGATAGTGTACCAGCAGGTGAGCGGAAGTCATAGTATGGGACCTTAAAGGCTGGTTCAGAACAAAGACCAGCTTCTGAAACTGCAGAAGCTATCACAGCACTAAGTATGACCATAGAAGTGGTATTCACAAGTGAAATGGATGAGGAATTAGGTGGTGATGGACTCCACGGGCATACATGTATTGATAATGGCAGCATAGATATACACAAAACTGAATACCAACCAGAACCAACTCCAGCAGCCCCACCTAGCAAAATTTCAGATAAAAGCTCAAAACTTTGCAATCAAGCAAGAAAAGGAAAAATGGAGAATTGAGTTATGGATAAAAATCAAAACATACAGAGTAGTTGAAGAGGACGACGCCGATTCGGGTGAGCAGACCCACCAAGCTCGACGACAGCACTATCGTCCAGTTCCCTCGGCCACGGCCTTGTACTCTGTTTTCATTTTCCCCTTCTTCTTGTTCTTCTGCTTTTTCATCGTCATCGTTTTGTTGTTTTTGTTGCTGGGTTTGTTGGTTTTGAGGGAGGGAGAAAGGAGGTCTGAGAGTCAGATCTCTGCAATCTTCATCTTCCACTTCTTCTCCTTCTTCTTGTACCCAGCACTGGCATTTTTGGTGTTGATTGTTCTGGTTTGGGTGTTTGATGTGGGAGAGAATAGGAGGAGGGTTTTACCCGGCGGTGATGAGGACGGAGGAGGTGGAGAGGCCAGGGGACATAAATGGAGGTGGAAGTGGGCGTTGGGGAAGCGCCGTATGCAGCCCAGGCCTCCCATTAGCTGCTACACCAGTTGAGCCAACTGTTCAGTCCAATCACGACCAAGTAATGGATAAATGTCTGACAAAATAATTAAGTAATATTCATATTAATATAAAATAATATACCCTAATTTCCTTTTCTTTTCGTATTTACCAAATCAAGAGTTATCTTTTAATGGTAACTTATTAAATATAGTCCAAACGACACTTGGTATATCAGATCGTGTTTTCGATATATTGAAAAATGCTCAACTTTATTATTTATGTTGTAACACCAAATATTCAATTAGAATCCAAGTTATGTCTGTATTCATAACCTACGGTTTATGCACATATGAGCAACTATTCTTAACATTTGCAAATAAGGTGGAACTATTCATGCTAAAAAATAGTTAGGAGCACATAAATCGACATGTACTTGATAAAATTCGAGAAATTCGTCTCGGTGATTGAGACATTTGCTACAATTGAGAACAAAAGAAGATCTCACAATGGAGTTGCACACTTCAATCCAGAGTGGTCAACGACATACACCAAACTAACATATACACTTATAAAAAAAAAAAGGAAACTAGACAAGGTAGTAGCTCCAATTAAGAATGCATTACATTATGTGTTAATGTTTACTAATTACATCAATTATTAGGCCGGTCCTTTGATTTTGATCCGAAACATAGTACTACTTCAAAGATCCCCAATGTTTTGTTTTAAGGAAAACTAACGAAAAGTTAAAAAAAAACTTAAGTTTTAATGAAAAATGACAAATAAAGGTGTAGTGAATAGTACTAGGAAAATATAAAAATGTGGTTTTTCGTTAAAAGCGAACAATACCGGGAGTGTTTCGTTAAAACTTCCTTTATTTAATAGACCTTTCCATGCACATCATGTAATGCAAGAAGTTTTAGGGACTGATTAAATAGCGAAAATGAGGCGATCACAAAAAAGATCAATCAAAATGCCTTAATTGTACCAACTAATGAAGTTATTTAAAGGGTTTATAATCATATTTTAGAACACTAATCATTGATCGTCTCTTTAAAGAAGAAGAGGACGTGAAACCGACAAAACGCGAACACACACCCGTTGTCGACATAAGCTGCTTGTTGGCCGTGATAAGAGTAGTTAATCTATATGGGTGTGTATACATTATTAATTAGGTTTCCTATTTAGACGGATTTACAGAACGATGCCTAAATGTACAGCTGCGAATTATAATATGATAATATAGCATATCAAATATCCGACAAACAAATGGCTCTGATTTATAAATTGTAGCTTCCTTCTCAATCTCGCATTAATTTGTACCTTTCTATATGTGCATGTTTTTGTTTCTCTACTTTGTACAAGTTGACAAATCAAAAACATAAACTTGCTAACCAACTCTGATTTCTAAATTGTATTTGTTGTGGTAGTACCTAATGGGCCGGGCTCATGAGGACCAGTGGCAATTTTGAATATCACACAAATACAGTACCATTTTTGTCACAAAAAAATGGAAACAAAAAAATCAATTAACGACAATCGTTTTTCTAACTCAAACTATCGGCATCTCTCAGTGTCTCCGTCGTCTTCTGATTTTCCCCGAGAAGAAAGGTAACCTAATTGAGTAATGGATAAAAATCAAACATACATAGTACTACTTCTAAATTGATCCGAAACATAGTACTACTTCTAAATTGATCCGAAACATAGTACTACTTCAAAGATCCCCAATGTTTTATTTAATAGACCTTTTCACGCACATCATGTAATGCAAGAAGTTTCAGGGATTAGTTAAATAGTGAAAATGAGGCGATCACAAAAGGGATCAATCAAAATGCCTTAATGCCTTAATTGTACCAACTAATGAAGTTATTTAAACGGTTTATAATCATATTTTAGAACACTAATCATTGATCGTCTCCTTAAAGAAGAAGAGGACGTGAAACCGACGAACGTGAACTCAACACCGTCGTGGACATGAGCTGCTTGTTGGCCATGATAAGAGTAGTTAATCTATATGGGTGTGTATAGATTATCAATTATGTTTCCTCTTTAGACGGATTTACATAACGATGCATATATGTACAACTATGATTTACAGTATGACAATATAACATATCAAATATCCGACAAACAAATGACTCTGATTTCTAAATTACAGCTTCCTCCTCAATCTCGCATTAATTTGTACCTTTCTATATGTGCACGTTTTTGTTTCCCCACTTTGTACAAGTTGACAAATCGAAAACATAAACTTGCTAACCAACTCTGATTTCTAAATTGTATTTGTTGTGGTAGTACCTAATGGGCCGGGCTCATGAGGACCAGTGGCAATTTTGAAATATCACAATAAATACAGTACCATTTTGGTCACAAAAAATAAAAAACGAAAAATCGATTAACGACAATCGTTTTTCTACCTCAAACTATTGGCTCTCTCCGTCGCCTTCTGATTTACCTCCTAATCGGATAAGAAAGGCAACCAAATCCTGGTCCTCCGAATTCGTGGTTTTCTGTTTCTTCCGGCACTCCTCACGCGTACGGCAGCCTGAGAGCGAGGCGCTCTCGATTGATTCCATGGTCTGATTCTCCGCGAATCGCAATCCGACCGTGGCGATGGCGTCGATGCAGAACCAATCGGCGCATGTGGATCTCTTCGATGCGTATTTCCGATGGGCCGATTTAGACTGCGATGGCCGGATTAGTGGCAATGAAGCCGTTGCTTTCTTCCAGGGCTCTGGTCTCCCCAAACAGGTCCTTGCGCAGGTACTCTCTCTCTCTATATATATGTATATGATTGTGTATATATGTATAATTGGATGTGTGTGTGTATGATTATATTTTTGTAATTATAGTGGTTGATCGGAACTCCGCCGTGTAAGTTTATCTTACATTGCCTGTCCCAAGCCCGGATAAAGGAGGAGGGGGAGGGCGTCAGGTAGTCGACAGCCGGCACTCCATGATTACGTCAAATCCTTATGAAAATGAATCCAGAACAAAATCGCGCTAAAGCTAGGGCGTCACCCGTAAGTGGCGCGTTGTGTGGCCCGAGCACAGTGATAAGTGAGCAAGGGTCGCTGTATCTCCATCGGCACCCGGATGCAGTGTTAAATGAGCAAGGGGGCTATAGAAACTTCTTTTCGAACGACTCCACTCAAAGTTGTTTGGGAGCATATGCTCCTATCAACTTTACACGGGACACACAAAAGAAGTACTTTGATCCTATTAGAAAGGGAAGGGTGAAGAAGATAGGACAGAAGGGTAGAGTTCAAGAGAGCAAAATGCGTTTAGGAACGTGGAATATAGGAACCTTGACGGGAAAATCTATGGAAGTAGTAGAAGTTATGGTGAGGAGAAGGATAAATATTATGTGCCTACAAGAAACTAAGTGGGTTGGTCGTAAGGCAAAAGATCTAGAAAACTCAGGGTTTAAACTATGGTATTCGGGCACAAATAGAACGAGAAACGGTGTTGGCATCATCGTGGACAAGACCTTGACATAAGATGTTGTAGATGTCAAGAGGGTAGGAGATAGAATCATGGCAATCAAGATTGTAATAGGACAAGAACTTATCAATGTGATTAGTGCGTACGCACCTCAAGTAGGGTTGGATACGAGTTCGAAGGAGAAATTTTGGGAAGACCTTGGAGACTTGGTGCAAGGAATTGCTCAGACGGAGAAGTTATTTATAGAAGGAGATTTAAATGGACACGTGGGCAGGGAGACAGGCAACTATGGAGGTTTTCATGGTGGCCATGGTTTTGGGGAGAGAAACGAGGATGGGGAAGCTATCTTGGATTTTGCAATGGCATATGATCTCTTCTTAGCCAACACCTTCTTTAAGAAGAGAGAAGAACATGTGATCACCTACAAGAGTGGGTCGTCAAAAACACAAATAGATTTTCTTCTAATGAGGAAAGGGGATCGTATAACTTGTAAGGATTGCAAAGTTATACCAGGAGAGAGCGTGGCTAATCAACATCGCTTGTTGGTGATGGATGTACATATCAAAAGAGTGAGAAAAAAGAACAAGACTTGGAAGTGCCCAAGGACTAGATGGTGGAATCTAAAAGAAGAAAAACAAGCAATTTTCAAAGAGAAAGTAATCACCCAGTGTGTGTGGGATAGAGAGGGGGAAGCTAGCCAAATGTGGGATTCCATGGCTAGTTGTATCCGAAAAGT